ACCCTTCTCCGTTTGCTCTGCAACCATCCAGACCTTCCCCTTGACACAGAGAATATATTCAGGACTGGAGTTGCGTGTTTGCCTGGGTAGAGAAATCACAGTACACACGGCCTTGCTTCTTCTGGGCCAAACCGGACTTCCTTTCCCCACCTCCCCACGAAGCAGCCCTTCTCCGAAGACTAGCCCGAGACAGGATCAAATCCACCCATTCAAATTGAACGCATGTCAGTGGTTTTTAGTAGAACCATCACCACTCTCTCTTTCCAGGATATTTTCATCACCCTCAAAGGAAGCCTCAACCCCATCAGCAGGCCCTCCCCAGTCTCCTGGGCCTTAGCCCTTGGCAACCACTGATCTGTTCTCTGCAGGATGACTAATTGTGCCGCAAAGAGCTGCACAAAAACTCTTCCTTGAGAATCTGTAAGTACAGTTGGCTCCTGCAGCTCACAGTAAAATACCAAAAAGTACTACACGGGAACAAGAAAACACAGCCCCATTGGTGAGATCTGGCAGAAACTACCGATAACCAAATTTGGACCCAAACCTTCAGGATTTGAATTCAAGATTTAACCTGATTTTTTTTTTTTTTTGCAGTTATAACCATTTTATTTATTTATTTATTTTTTTACAAATAGCTTCTTGTCAAGTTGGTTTCCATATAACACCCAGTGCTCATCCCCACAAGTGCCCTCCTCCATGCCCTTTCAATAAATTATTAAAATTCATAAGTGGTATTAGTAAGGTTGCTGGCCACAGTCATTATACAGAAATCAATCACACTTCTATATACCAACAGCACACAGAAAATATAATCTACCCCCACTTGGGCTCTGTACTCACAGTGCGGAGCTTGCTTGGGACTCTCTCCCCCTCTCTGCCCTTACCCCACCTGCTCTCTATTTCTCCCTCTCTCTCTAAATAAACGAATAAACATTAAAAAAAGAAAATATAATTTTAAAAGATACCGTTCAGTATGAAATCTAAAATGAAAAATACCTAAGAATAAATGTAACTCTCTATATCGTGTGGACAGAATTACAAGATTATATTGGAATCCACTAAAGGAGACCTGAGTCATGTTCATGGTTTGGAAGGTTCCATGGGCCTATAGGTTCAATGCAGTTCCAAGACCCTCACAGGTAGAGTGGTAGAGAAAGGACAGACCAGCACTGGGTGGTACTGGCATACTGGGGATGCATGCGATCAAAATGAACACTGAGACTGGTTAGAAGTGAGGGCAAACGCTTTATCCAAACTACCACAGTCCGAAGAACTTCAGAGAGAGTGACTCCTCGAGAGCAAAATTCAGTTACAGTTTTTATTGAGGCTCAGGGTGGAAAAGTACCGGCCGAGTGAGTCAGCTGACTCCGAGAACAGCCGAGCACACAGCCTTTCCTGGGTGGCCGGTTCCGGTTCAGGGGTGCTCAGTGCTCAGAATCTGAGTCTGCTCCTTGGCATTTATTGCTTCTTGGAATTTATTGCAGTTATCTGCTTCTCAATTCCTAGAACTGCCTTTAGGCACCGAAATTCAGTTCAAGGTTCATGAGTGGAAAATATAGCTTCTCCCAATAGTAGAAAAATGAAATTGAACTCTCACACCATACAGAAATTAATTGGAGTAGTTTAAGGACTTAAACGTGAAAGGCAAAAGTACACAACTTTTAGAGATGATACTGGAGACTTCCTTTGTGACATGGGGATAGAAAAGGATTTCTTAGAAGAAAGCGATGGCTGAATTTGACTACCTTCAAGTAAGTACATCCCCTCTTCAAAATACATCCTGTGAAGAGTAGAAATGAAATCCTCCAAGTGGAAGAAGGCATCTTCACTGCAATCATGTTCAAAACAGTGGTATACAGAAAATATGAAGAATTCCTACAGATCAGTAAACGAAACTACGAATGAGAAAAATGGGCAAAATTCATTAACAGGAATTTCATATGAGAGAAGGACAAATGATCCATCAAGTCAGGGCAAGGGCTGCAGCCTCATCGCTTGTCGGGGAAGCGCAGGGTAAGAAACCGACAGGATCCGACCTGTCATCTGCGCGCTAGGCACCCGGGTAGAAGACTCCCAGTGCTTCCTGTTCTCAAGCACGTGGGATAATGGGAACATTATACCCCCACTGACGCTGGCAGGAGGCGTAAATCCGCGCAGTCACTCTGGGAGGCTGCCACGGATAGTGCAGCGGGCGCTACCCCTCTGACCCAGCAAGTCAGTCACGGGGCGTGTTCCGTAGAGACACTCTTCGTACACTCGCACTACGAGACATGCGCTTCTAGAAGCTTTATTGCGAGGAGGAAACAAGCCCCAGAAGCAGCAAAAACGCCCTTCTACGGTTGAGGGGCTGAGTGAGTCCGGCCCTTTTTAGGCACTAGGCCATTCTACAGGACGGGTGCAAATCTCGGCCACGTCTGTAAGCATCCGCGTGGCAGAATCTCAGAACACAAAGCAAATAAGCAAAGAAGCCCCTGAAGAATACATACATCCGATTGAGACCCCCCTGAAGAGCGTGTACGGTTTAAAAACGGGCAAGACTGTGGGGTTAGAAGACAGGACGGGGCTTGTCTTGGGGGCAAGGAGGGGCCAAGGGGGAGGGGACGCCAAATCTGTTCACTCTGTCCTCTGGTCTCCTGTCAGCCGCTAGCACAGCCCACGGTCTTTTGGTTTGATCAGCAGCCTCTGTAACCGAGCTCGCCTTGGCCTGCGGTGTGGCCCGTGGCTGACGGCTCCATAGATCTCCCCTCAGTATCAATTCAAATACCACTTTGGTCTTTCTTTTCCACGCGGCAGATTCCTAGGGCAGCAGGTTTCCCCAGCTGGAGGAATGACGACTCCATCCCTTCACTCGCTCGGGCCAAAGCCCGGGAGGCCTCCTGGAAGCCTCCCTCCCTCTCTCCCCCACCTCATCTGACCTGGAATCAAATCCTGCCCGACTCTCCCTTCCTGACCTCTCCACCCTGGCTCAGGCCAAGTCATGTCTCACCTGACTAGTGTCGCTGCTCCTGTCCTTGCCCCCCCCCCCCATTCTCAACAGGGCAGCTGACATGCGCTATAAAAATGTCTATCAAATTATATCCCTTCTCGGCTCCACACCTCCTGTTGGCTCCCCTATGACCCCCAGCAAGACCCCGGGTCCTTCCAATGGCCCACAAGGACCTACTTTGCCCTCATTTACTCTGGTTTCTGTGCTGCTTTCGAACGCAGAGGGCGTGCTCTTGACTCAGCACCCGTACCCTCTCGTGCCTTCTGCCTGGAGCACCTCCAGGTGATGTGGATCCTGCCACCGGCACAGGCTCCGCAGGAGCCGGGATTAGTGTCTGGTTTGTTCCCCGCCCAGGGCAGTGCCTGGCTCCCAGTAGGTGTTCAGTCAGTGTCCGCCGAATGAATGATTTCAAACTCAGAACAGTGAAGGGAAAAGCAAGTTAATAATTGATAAAACTGTTACTGCGTTACATTTATACCAGTATCATATTATAATATATATTATAATACTAAACAAGTAGAAACACCCTAAACAGTTAAATGACTTATGTCATATCCATGGCAAGGAGTACTATGCAACAGTTAAAATTATATAGCCATATATTTACCGACATGAAAAGATATCCATAATTTGTCAAACAGTGAAAAAAAAAAACGGGCTACAAAATAGCCTGGGGAGCATAGTAGAACACATTGCTGTGACCGTGTGCACACGCATCTGCGTTCCTCAAAGAGTATACATTAATCCATAAGAAGCTCCATGTTCAAATTTGTATGGGAAAGGCTGTGCCCCATACCCTCCTGTGGGGATTCATGTGAGCCTTTTAAAGGCTTTTGGAAGTCCTGGGGCAAGGGAACATGCTTGAGGGCGCATGGCTGGCTCAGTCGGTGGAGCGCGTGACCCTTGATCTCGGGGTTGTGAGTTCAAGGCTCAAGTTGGCTGCAGGGATTGTTTAAAAATAAAATCTTAAAAAAAAAATACTTAAATATGTTTAATCCAGCACCTCTCAAACTCCATTGACCATTAATTGAGTCCTATTGTCTCATAACATTTACTAAAACAGAACTGTTGTTTCACAGAAAAGATGTTGGGAGGGGCGCCTGGGTGGCTCAGTCGGTTAAGTGTCTGTCGCTCTTGATTTCAGCCCAGGTCGTGATCTTACTGTACATGGGTTCGAGTTCCACGTCCGGTTCCATGCTGACAGTACGCAGAGCCTACCTCGGATACTTTCTCTCTCTCTCTCTCTGCCCCTCCTCTGCTTGCTCTCTCTCAAAAATAAATAATAAACTTAGATTGTGTGATGTGATGGGTATCATTCTTTAAAAAAGTGAGGGGAGGCACATGGGTGGCTCAGTCGGTTAAGCATCCGACTTCGGCTCAGGTCATGATCTCAGGGTTTGTGAGTTTGAGCCCCGCGTCTGGCACTGTGCTGACGGCTCGGAGCCTGGAGCCTGCTTCAGATTCTGTATCTCCCTCTCTCTCTGCCCCTCTCCCAGAACTCTGTCTCTTTCTCTCAGAAATAAATAGTAAACATTAAAAAATAATAAACATTTAAAAAATAAAAGATTTTGGGAAACTGGTAATACAAGCATGGAAAAGAGTTTGAAAGCAGTTGTGGGTCACTAGCATTATGGGTACTTTTTCTTCTTATTTTAGGAATTTTTTGGTAATAGAATAAGTATGTATTACTTTTATAATCAAAACAGCAGTAAGGCTATTCCCGTTTTTCAATCCATGTTTTATTTATTTATTTATTTATTTTAAAATTTTTTTAATGTTTTATTTATTTCTAGGAGAGAGAGGCAGCGTGAGCAGGGGAGGGTCAGAGAGAGAGGGAGATACAGACTCTGAAACAGGCTCCAGGCTCTGAGCTGGCAGTCAGCACAGAGCCCGACGCGGGGCTCGAACCCATGAGCCGCGAGATCATGACCTAAGTGAAAGCCGGACGCTTAACCGACTAAGCCACCCAGGCGCCCCTCAATCCATGTTTTAAAGGAGAAAATAAAGGCAGAGATACAGATGAAAGACACTTTAATTTTAACCCAGAGGTACTTCCTTATTGTAAGCAAATAGCACACTCTGCACTTTTGGAGTCCAGCAAGCCAAACACCACAGTTGCCCACGTGAATTTTCTAGTGCTTCATTGGACTGGTTCACCTACAAGAATACTGGGAAAAGAAGAGAAATTGATGAACTAAGTCTGAATGCCTATACACTATTCTGGTCTGCAGAGTTACTTTATAATTACATTCCCTTTTCCAAAATACGATTTTTAAAGTTTTTATTTATTTATTTTGAGGGGGCTAGAGAGAGAAGGAGAGAGAGAGAGATTCATAAGAAGGCTCCACACGGTCAGTGCAGAGCCCAGCGTGGGGCTCAAATTCACAAACCTCAAGATCATGACCTGAGCCAAAACCAAGAGTTGGACGCTCAATCGACTAAGCCGCGTGGGTGCCCCCTAGGATATGATTTTAGACAAAGTGTCTTTCTAATATGAACCACAAGATTTCATTCAGACAAAATGCTTTGATGAATTGAGAAAAAAGTGTCAGAATGTGTTTCTAGCAGTGTATAGCTGGGATTGGAGGTAGATGTAGAAGCATGGTCACGTAGCTTTTCTTGTGCATGTATGTACGTCTGTGTGTATGCGTGCATACATGTGTGTATTTCTACCAGGGAATCATTTTCAGGTTGAAAATGGTCATGAAGGCTCTCACAGTTAGAAAGTTGAAACAGAACAGAGGCTCCACCTGTTCTTTTTTTTTTTCCCTAAAGATTGTATTTTGGGGGTGTCTGGGTGGCTCCGTCGGTTGAGCGTCCAACTCTTGATTTTGGCTCAGGTCATGATCCCAGGATCATGGGACTGAGCCCCACGTCAGGCTCTGTGCTGAGTGTGGAGCCCGCTTAAGATTCTCTCTCTCTCTGCCATGGGGCGCCTGGGTGGCTCAGTCAGTTAAGTGCCCGATTTTGGCTCCAGTCATGACCTCACAGTTTGTGAGTCTGAGCCCCATGTTGGGCTATGGGCTGACGGCAAGGGGCCTGCTCGGGATTCTCTCCCCAACTCTCTCTGATCCTTCCCTGCTCATGCGCGCCCTCACGCTCTCTCTTTCAAAAAAAAAGTAAACTTAAAGAGAGATTCTCTTTGGGGTATCTGGGTGGCTCAGATGGTTAAGCGTCTGACTTAGGCCTAGGTCATGATCTCTCCATTCCAGAGTTTGAGTCTTGCATCGGGCTCTGTGCTGACAGCTCAGAGCCTGGAGCCTGTTTCAGATTCTGCATCTCCCTCGCTCTCTCCCTGCCCTCTCCCCTTGCTTGTGCTCTCTTGTTCTCTCTCTCTCTCAGAAATAAATAAACATTTGGAAAAAAAAAAAAAAGCTCACTAATCACAGTTGTCTGGGTAGCTCAGTTGGTCGAGTGTCTGACTCTTGATTTCGGCTCAGGTCGTGATCTCACGGTTTGTGGGATCAAGCCCTGGTCCTTGGGGGTCTGTGCTGACAGCACGGAGCCTGCTTGAGAATCTCTCTCTCCCTGTCTCTCTGTGCCTCCCCCATTCACCCTCGCTTGCTCTCTCCCTCTCAAAGAAATACACATAAAACAATTTAAAAACCTTACTAATCAAACAATACAATTTGTCGTGGAAAGCCCAGGAAATGCAATTAGATGAAGAGAAATGTGAAAACCCGTATCAGCAGCAATAGGAATACTGATTACAGCCACCAGCACCAGGAGATGACCCACGTCTAATACTTGGGTTAGATCCCTAAAAGCTGTTTTTCAGTCGTACATATAGTTTTTAATAACAAATTGGCTTCAATTGTATATCCTCTGTCAGCATATGCTTTTCCACTCCATAATATTTCCTGAATATGATTCTGTGTGATTACCCTCTAGAACAGGGTCTTGGTGATCACCTAGGACTCGTCGTATGGACGTTCAGCACTTTCTTATCCTGGCAATGGACAGTTAAGTTGTTTCCATTTTTCCACGATTATAAGCCATACTAAAACTTCCGTATACACATTTCTCTGATTTCCTCAGGCAACAGAGCATCTAGTTTAAGCCTCTTTAGAGCTGCAGCTAATGGTGTATAGGTGAGTATAGAGGATAAATAAAGAGGGTAGAGAAACTCTTTCCAATCCTTACAGTGAAATATATTTTTAAAAAATCACTGTTATTGAGATTCTACTATGTGCCCAGTACCATGTGCCAGTTTTTCCTGTATCATCATAGACTCAAATCTTCCTTTATTTTCGCAACATTAAAACAAATTATACCTTGAGTATTTTTTTCCTGGTGTATTATTTTCTTTCTCTTCTACAAAGAAATTAATTATGTGTCCCCTGCATCTATCATTTTTTCCTTTAATCTTACTTTCTCTAAAGTGTTTTATTTTTTATTACAATTTTTTAAATCTTTATTTTTGAGAGAAAGAGAGACAGTGCAATATTTATTTACCTTTGAGAGAGAGAGAGAGAGAGAGAGAGAGAAAGAGACAGTGTGAGCGGGGTAGGGAGAGGAACAGAGAGAGAGGGAGACACAGAATCTGAAACAGGCTCCAGGCTCCGAGCTGTCAGCACAGAGGGTGACCCTGGGCTCGCACTCACTAGCCGTAAGATCATGACCGGAGTTGAAGTCGGACACTTAATGGAATGAGCCACCCAGATGCCCCATGACAGAGAGAGAGAGAATCTTAATCAGGCTCCACACTCAGCACAGAGCCTGACGTGGGGGTTGAACTCACCAACCAAGAGTGCATGATCTGAGCCTAAGTTGGATGCTTAACCGACTGAGCCACCCAGGTGCCCTTGAATAAGGGTTTTAAATAAATTCTGTCTAATGGTGCTGGCTTTGTTTGTCCTGTTTCCCCTCCCTCCTTTTATATTTTTTCATCAATGTCTTCTTTTGTTTTGCCATATATTGCTTTCCCTCTTGCCCTCACTGTCCACACCGGTGTTTCTTTCACGAGCCGTTTGCTTGTTCGCAGCAAGGGCTTGGTGCTTTTTCTCCTCAGGCTGAGCCATCTGCTTCAAAGGAGGAAGTATTTCTTTTGGCATGTCGCCTGCTTTATCTCCGCACAAGTCCTTCTGAATGTATATGTCTAACTAATGCTTCAGATGCTTCTGAGGCAGAGGCCTGCTGGCCGTCGTTTGAGTGACAGCGACTCAGGAGATAGACAATCAGATACGTGGAGTTGAGTCCTGGCTTCTTTAGTTGGGAAACGCGGCCTTTCCCTGTGCTTGGGAGGAAGGAGCAGCCACAGCGAACATGTTGCCAGTGTCTTTCACGGTCTGCCTTGCTGGCCACCGGACACCTGTTCCATTTTCCCTCCCACGCGTGGCCCGCACAGGCACGCGCCACGCACACCCTCCCCGCCCAGAACAGCCTTGTTTCTCCCACTGCTGAGAGCGCCGTCGGCACATGGCTTCTCTGAGGTTCCAGCCATATCAGGCTAATGTGAGGGAAGTCTCTTGGGGTCCCTCGAGGTTTCGTTGGGCTTGTGAGGCAGTCTGACCTCTCCCTTCCTCCCTCTCCCCTCCACAGGTGTTGATCCCTGATAATACCCTGCACACGAAACCCGTCTCACTGTCTGCTTCCAGAACGCCCGATTTGTGGCACAACTTTCCCCCAAGACTAAAATCCCATTTCTGTGTGTCCAGCTCAAAGTGCAGAGTACCTGGGGGAAGCTTGGTTCTCTCAAATCTGACTGAGACTCTTCTTGGTTTAAGTGACTTATTAAGTGAAAGAAGTTATCTGCTCCTCATCTCCATGCGCCAAATACAACGATGGAGCAGGAAGAGCCTAAGCACCGTAAACGTTTGCGAAAGAATAACGGGAGACCCACGCGCTCTGTAGTGATCCTATAATCCTGGGGGCAGACACTGCTTGGGCCTGACCTGCTTTACAAGAGAAGCTCCGAGGCCCACGGCCCACCTTTTGGGCGGCTCTTCCCATCAGTCTCTGCGGCTGCGTCTGAAGCAAGTTCCCGGGGGCCCATCTTCGAAACTTCAAAGCCCGTGTCCTTCTCGTGGAAGATCAGAAGCCCAAACACAGTTTTAAGGCTCAGACAACGGACAGCTCATTGAATTCTGGCTCATGGTTTCTTTGGCAGTAGGCTTTTCTCGAAAACTTAGCTGACTTCTGTTTGGCTCCGGTTCTGAGTCCTAACCATATATCCAAGGTGGTTGCTTCCCAGACAGGTTCTTGATCGGGTGATCATTTCAGATTATCAGGAGCCTTAGGCAAGGATGCCACACCCTTAATCTGATCTCTGCCCTCAGCCGCTTTATTAGCTGTGCACTTTGAACAGTGCTTTAGCATGCAAAGCCTTTCTTAATCTCACGCCTCATGCCTTCACAGGTTTCCCCCCTTCGACTCTGTCTCCTGCCATAGCATTGACCCGCCAGACTATTACTAAGTTGTCTTATTTCTCTGTCTCGCTAGCGACCAGGAGAGAGACAGGCAAGTAGTCATCTGTTGGTAAATACTGACTGAATTAATAAAATTTAGGTTTTTGTAGCTATGTTTATTTTGTTAATTATTTCACGAGTCTCTTTCACTTCATATGATTTACGTAAGTAAATATTGTGGCAAAGTTTCAGGTAATTGAGCACATAGTTAATGAAGTTAGAAAAAAAAAGATCAGCTATAAACAGTGGTTATTTGATGTCGCCTGTAAGTCACTGGTAATGGATGGGGTGGGTTGGATAAACCAAGAATTACCTTCCTTAAAACTTTCCCTTAAACGGGGCGCCTGGGTGGCTTAGTCGGTTAAGCGTCCGACTTTCGCTCAGGTCATGATCGCGCGGTTCGTGGGTTCGAGCCCCGCGTCGGGCTCTGTGCCGACTGCCAGCTCAGAGCCTGGAGCCTGCTTCAGTCTGTGACTCCCTCTCTCTCTGACCCTCCCCTGCTCACGCTGTCTCTCTCTCTCTGTCTCCTAGAAATAAATAAAGCATTAAAAAAAATTAAAAAAAAAACAAAAACAAAAAAACCCTTTCCCTTAATTATGGATGTACAGGCTGGCGGGGAGCTTTATCATTGCTGCCTCTCCCTCAGGCTCCTCATCCCTCTCTTCCTCCCATAGAAGCTTACGTGAGGCAACAGAGGACCCCCATCACAATCGTAATGAGCAGAAAAGCAAGAATGGCTCCTGGAGGTATGGAGTTCTTGATGTGGTCCTGCAAGTAGTTCTTGAACTTGTACAGCCATGACCTGTGGTTTTCTGCAGAAAAAGCAGACATTCACTGAGGAGAGATCAAGTAAGCGATAAGGCTGGGATGTGAATCCTGGTTCAAGTTCAGCTAGCTGTCCCAGATATCAGGCTCTTATGGCTGCCTAGAGCTCATGTTCTTAACAATTTTACTGCGATGCCTCTCACATATTCGAGGAATATATATACATTTTAAAAAAGGTATTCCATGGGACACTTGGGTGGCTCAGTTGGTTAAGTGCCCAAGTTTGGTTCACGTCTTGATCAAATGGCTTTGTGAGTTCGAGCCCCAGATCAGGCTCTTTGCTGCCAGCTGGGAGCCTGGAGACTGCCTCGGATTCTGTGTCTCCCTCTCTCTCTGCTCCTCTCTCTCTCTGTGTCTCAAAACTAAGTAAAAGTTAAAAAAATTTTTTAGGGGCGCCTGGGTGGCTTAGTCGGTTAAGCGTCCGACTTTCGCTCAGGTCATGATCTCGCGGTTCGTGGGTTCGAGCCCCGCGTCGGGCTCTGTGCTGACTGCCAGCTCGGAGCCTGGAGCCTGTCTCAGTCTGTGACTCCCTCTCTCTCTGACCCTCCCCTGCTCACGCTGTCTCTCTCTCTCTCTCTCTCCTAGAAATAAATAAAACATTAAAAAAAATTAAAAAAAATTTTTTTAAACGTATCCTCCTTGTATGTCAAAATAGAAACGTTACTGTGTGGCCCAGATATCTTACGGGCTGTTTCCAGGTCTCAGTGAGTAAGTGTGGGTACTTATTGAAAGGATGTGAGCCGTGTATGTGCTCGTGTTGGACGAAGCTGCGCTTTGGCTGCCCCACTGTGAACTCGTAATCCACGTCATTCTGATGAGGGAGCAGGAGGCACGGTGAGCGGCCGCAAGCCCCGCAGCCCCGCACCCACCTGGGGGACATGTGTGACATCCGTCAGGCACTGCTGGCTGCCCAAGGACAAAGGAAAGGGGTAAGCAAGCGGTTCCGTGATAGCGACCACGGTCCCGAAGGACCTAGAGGTGTCTATCCCATTCCACAGTGAGGTGGGAAACCAAGGCAGAAGGAAACGGACGATGGAACTCAAGTTCCTTAAAACCTGCAGCCCCTTGACCACTAGTCGGGGCGCGCAGGGTAAATCGCTTCTCCAGGGGCTCCTCCTGTCTTCGTGCTAATCCTTTGCTGGGACAAACACCCTCAGCCTGACAACAGCCAGGCCCCCAGGATCCCTGAGTCTTCAGCACGGGAATCCCCCTGGGCCTTCCCCGGACTCTGCCTCCCCCCTCCCCCACGGTGTGTAACCGGTGTCTCCTCTTGGGCCGGGCGGCTCTTCCCGACCCCACGAACCCCACTGTCACCCCAAAAACCTCATCAACTCGGCAAAGGGTTTGGGGCACAGTAGGCGGGCTGGTGCTTGTTGCTCTAACTCGAACTAAACCGGAGTCGTTTGCTTTACTGTGAACACAGTCTCTCCTCACCTGTGACATGAGTGTGGCGTCGCCCAGAGGAGATGGGGAGGCCCTTCCTCGCCGCAAGCACACGCCTGGCGCGTGGTCCCCACCCCGCTGTGTGCGCCGCGTCCAGGAGGCAGCTCAGGCAGCACAGCAGCAGCCCGGCGCGCAGCAGCCTCCGGGCGCCCATGGCTGTGTCCACGGGGCCCGCCTCCGTCCTCGGCTCTTTCCAACCAGCTTTGTCTGAAAGGTTAGGAAACGGTGGTTCAGTTCTCATCGCAAGAAGCTTCTGCGGTGGCAGCCCCGCCTCCCCCTGCCCAGCCCTGAACGCGGTCCGTTTCCAAAGACAATGCCTCCTCCCTCCGAGAACAACACAACATCACACGCCGAAACTTCGGTCTGTTCCGTCAGGTCGGGTACGCCCGCCGTCTGCCGCGTAGACCCGGCCCCCCTCGGGCTTCGCCAGCCCCGCGAGGGCAAATGGTGTCAGCTGTTCGGGCCCAATCCCGTGGGGCGCCTTTGACTCTTCTCCCCGCCCCCCCCCATCAGAAGACGCTGGGCAGCTCTGCCTCCCAAGTCTCTCCCTGCCCCTGCCGCGCCCACCGCCGCCACTACCGCGCCTTCCTCTCGGCCCCCCTGCCTCCGCCCCTGCCTCCCTCCCGCCTCCTCACTGCGCAGCCAGAACCGAGCGCCCCGTCTCACCCTCGTCCCTGAGCTCGCCTCCCCCCGAGCGCTGCCGCGCCGCCTGATCTCTTGAACAAGCCTATGTTCAGACCCTATTTCCCCTTGTTATTCCTTCTGCAAGGAAGGCCCCCAGCCCCCCGCGCCCCTAAATATTCTCCTGACTCATTATCTCACCTTCCACAAACTTCCTAACTGACTTACCTGCTTCATCTTCCTCCGTAAACGTCATCAGAATCGACCTCAATATATATTTTTCTTGCTTATCTTATTATCTGGCTTTTCTGATGAGAATGTCAGCTCTCTGAGGGCAGGGATTTTTGCCTGTTTCGTTCACTGTGAACAGGGATCATGCAGCACGGAGGGTGGTCAGGGGCTCAATCCTTTTTTTGGATGAGTGAACAGACAGTGAATGTGGTTTGCTGCCTGAGCCACCAGTGCCACCGCCCTGGTCACATCGCACGGAAGCTCCAAGAGCCGAATCCTGCCCCCCCCCCTCCACCCCCCAGCCATCCTTGCAGCCAGCAGTGCTCAGTCCACACGGTTCTGCACAGAGAAGCCTAACGGGAATCTGGTAGGTGGCTTGGGGAAAGACGTTTTGCTGTCTTCATGAAAGAAACGGTGACACCATTTTCCCCCTGGGCTGCCTGGAACATTAAGTGCTGCCTAAAGCTGCAGCAGCCGCCTTGTGACTGTGAGGCAATGCACATGAGAAAAAGGCCAAGAAAATGACATCTATTCCGGCTCTAGCAATTTAGAGCCACTTAAACCTACATCTGTATCTGCTCACCTCTAGGCTGCTTTGTATGAGAAAACTAATCCTTATTTGAACCATTCTAATTTGGGCTTTCTATGATGTGAGTCCTTTCTTAAAAAAATTTTTTTTAAATGTTTTATTTATTTCCAAGATAGAGAGAGAGAGAGAGAGAGAGAGAGAGAGAGAGACAGTGTGAGCAATGAACGGTCAGAAAGAGACGGAGACACAGAATCTGAAACAGGCTCCAGGCTCTGAGCTAGCTGTTGGCACAGAGCCCAACGCAGGGCTTGAACCCACCAACCGTGAGATCATGACCTGAGCCGAAGCCAGAGGGGAGGCTTAACCGACTGAGCTACCCAGGCACAACTTGAGTCCTTTCTAACTAACACATTCATCTCCTGTTTGATAAGTCTTAAAGAGACATACGTTTGGGGCGCCTGGGTGGCTCAGCTCAGCTGGGCGTCCAACTTCGCCTCAGGTGATGATCTCACAGTTCGTGGGTTCAAGCTCCACATCTAAGCCTGCTTCAGATTCTGTGTCTCCCTCTCCCTGCCCCTCCCCTGCTTGCTCTCTGTCTCTCTCTGTTTCTCAAAAAACAAATAAACATTAAACAAAAGAGACAGAGACCCACATCAGTCAGGAAGCCACTTACCTGAAAACTGACTTACTGCCAAGGGATCCAAATAAGTCAGTGAGTTAGGCTTCAGTGTTCAGAGTGCAGAAGAAGCTGGTCAGACTTTTCTCCTAAGTCTCTGAAGTTCCAAATGGAATTTTCCTCTTCATTGTGATATCATCAGTGCATTGGACCCTCCCATGGCCTTTCTCTATTTGACAGCTAAACAAAGACGCATCTTTTCCTATGTACAAACATCTGTGTAAATACTAACGCACATCCTCACAAAGCTGTCTCCTTTTAGTCTTGAAGAATTCTAACATATTTTGCTCACCACACGGTATCTACTATATCTTACAATAGTATATGGATGGGACCTTAACAAATGATAAAATATGGTTTTATATGATGATTGCCTATTCATGTGGATGCACTGAAGGGAAAACCCTACACACAAAAATAAATAAATTCTAGATAGATCAAGGACTAAACAAAAGTAAAACCATATGCATATTAGAATAAAATACGGGTGGGTGTTTATAGAATCTTGGTGTGGAAAAAAACTACTCTAAGCAGGTCATAAAACCCAAAGCCATGGGGCACCTCGGGGGCTCAGTCAGTTGAGCATCTGACTCTTTTTTTTTTCTTTCATAGATTACTGTCAAGTTGGTTTCCATATAACACCCAGTGCTCATCCCCACGAGTGCCCTCCTCCATGCCCATCCCCCCCCCCCCACATCCATCAGTCCTCAGTTTTTGTCAGCATTCAAGAGTCTCTCATGGTTTGCCTCCCTCCCTCTCCCCCACCATTTCCCCCCTTCTTCTCCCCCACGGTCCTCTGTTAAGTTCCTCCTTATCCTCCTATACGTGCAAACATATGGTATCTGTCCTTCTCTGCCTGACTTATTTCGCTCAGCATAACACCCTCAAGGTCCATCCATGTTGCTACACATGGCCAGATTTCGTTGTTTCTCATTGCCATGTGGTATTCCATTGTATAGATAAGAGCACCTGACTCTTGATTTCAGCTCAGGTTGTCACAGGATCTAGCCCATCTGGCTCCGTGCTGAGCGTGGAGCCTGCTTAAGATTCACTTTCTCTCGGAGCGACTGGTGGCTCAGTCAGGTGAGCATTTGATCTCATGTTTTGTGGGTTTGAGCCCCATGATGGACACCGTGAGCAGACCCTGGTTGGGATTCCCTCTCTCCCTCCCTCTCTGTCTGCCCCTCCCGTACTTGTGTGAATGCTCTTTCAAAATAAACAAATAAGTTGGAAAAAATTCTCTCCCCGTCTCCCCCACTCATGCATGCTCTTTCTCTAAAATTTAAAAAAAACCAAAAACAAAATAAAACCCCTCAAAGCCATAATTGAAAATATTGATGATAAATTTATTGCCTGAAAATGTAAAGCTTTCATAGAGCAAAATGTTATAAAGAGAGGTAAATGATTGATTAATGACAAAGTAGGTAATACATTTCATAAGACACATGATACATTAAGATCCTTAATATACAAAGAACTCTTACAAGTGAATTTTTTTTTTAAATTTATTTCTACGAGAGAGAGACACAGCGTGAGCAAGAAAGGGTCAGAGAGAGAGGGAGTCACAGACTGAAACAGGCTCCAGGCTCTGAGCTGGCAGTCGGCACAGAGCCCGACACGGGGCTCGAACCCACGAACCGCGAGATCATGACCTGAGCGAAAGTCGGACGCTTAACTGACTAAGCCACCCAGGCGCCCCACAAGTGAATTTTTAAGACAAGATGGTCACCGCCATAGAAGAACCAGCATAGATGATGTCAGACTTCTACCAAAAGCGGTGGATAGACTGTGGTATATCCTATACCACGGAATACTATGCAGCCATCACAATGAGCCACCGGGAAATATATACAGTGAGGGTGGTTTTTCCAGTTTCAGTAGTGCTCACCTGTCTCTTGGTTCACAAGGCAGCCATCCTACGCCTAGCTCATTACCCAAGAGAATTATTGTAGGGCATCTCCACGCTCAACCTCGATACATGAACAGCAGATCTGAATCTAAATGTAGTCAAATTTATCAAACTTCTCTTTCCTGGTTAGTGGCTTTGGGGGTGCTGTTCTAGAAATTTTGTTGTTTGCTCTTCACAGAGTTTTAATTAATTTGAAACTGATTTTTTGGGTATAGTGTGAGGAAGGGATCAAATTTCATTTTTCAAAAGAAAAAATAGCTTTCACTTTTTTTAAAGCTTACTTTCTTTTATGTTTAGTAATCGCTACACCCAACGTGGGGCTTGAACTCATGACTCTGAGATCGAGAGTCATGTGCTCTAGTCAGCCAGGTGCCCTGAATTTCAGCTTTTCACATAGATCTCTGACTGACCCTGTAGCACTGCTCTGCTGAGCTATTTTGTCATAAGTCAATGTCCATCTATAATGTGGCCCTGCTTCTGGATTCTAATATGTTCCACTGGTCTATTGCTCTGTCCTTGTGCCCACATCACATTGTCTTAATTACTGTGGCCTTAAGGTAAATGTGGACGCGGTGCCTGGCTCGCTCACCTGGTAAAGCTGCAACTCTTGATCTCGGGGTTGTGAGTTCAAGTTCCACATTGGGTACAGACATTACTTAACAATAAATTTAAAAATCTTTTTAATTAAAAATGTTTTTAGCTCGGTCCCATATTGAACTCGAGTTGGAAGAGGCGAGTCCGGTCTCAAAATGGAGGGACATGATCCAAAGGAACCAGAACAGTTGAGAAAACTGTTTATTGGTGGTTTGAGCTTTGAAACTACAGATGATAGTTTAAGAGAACATTTTGAAAAATGGGGCACACTTACAGATTGTGTGGTGATGAGAGACCCCCAAACAAAACGTTCCAGGGGGTTTGGTTTTGTGACTTACTCTTGTGTGGAAGAGGTGGATGCAGCAATGTGTGCTCGACCACACAAGGTTGATGGGCGTGTAGTGGAACCAAAGAGAGCTGTTTCTAGAGAGGATTCTGAAAAGCCTGGTGCCCATCTAACTGTGAAGAAAATTTTCGTTGGTGGTATTAAAGAAGATACAGAAGAATATAATTTGAGAGACTACTTTGAAAAGTATGGCAAGATTGAAACCATAGAAGTTATGGAGGACAGACAGAGTGGAAAAAAGAGAGGATTTGCTTTTGTAACTTTTGATGATCATGATACAGTTGATAAAATTGTTGTTCAGAAATACCACACTATTAATGGGCATAATTGTGAAGTGAAAAAGGCCCTTTCTAAACAAGAAATGCAGTCTGCCGGATCGCAAAGAGGTCGTGGCGGTGGATCTGGCAACTTTATGGGTCGGGGAGGAAACTTTGGAGGTGGTGGTAACTTTGGCCGTGGTGGAAACTTTGGAAGAGGAGGCTATGGTGGTGGCGGTGGTGGCAGCAGAGGTAGTTATGGAGGAGGTGATGGTGGATATAATGGATTTGGAGGTGATGGTGGCAACTATGGTGGTGGTCCTGGTTATAGTAGTAGAGGAGGGTATGGTGGTGGTGGACCAGGATATGGAAACCAAGGAGGTGGATATGGTGGCAGTGGTGGAGGATATGATGGTTACAATGAAGGAGGAAATTTTGGAGGTGGTAACTATGGTGGTGGTGGGAACTATAATGATTTTGGAAATTATAGTGGACAACAGCAATCAAATTATGGACCCATGAAGGGGGACAATTTTGGTGGAAGAAGCTGGGGCAGTCCCTATGGTGGTGGTTATGGATCTGGTGGTGGAAGTGGTGGATATGGTAGCAGAAGGTTCTAAAAATTTTCAGAAGAAAAGGGCTACAGTTCTTAGCAGGAGAGAGAGCGAGGAGTTGTCAGGAAAGCTGCAGGTTACTTTGAGACAGTCGTCCCAAATGCATTAGAGGAATTGTAAAAATCTGCCACAGAAGGAACGATGATCCATAGTCAGAAAAGTTACTGCAGCTTAAACAGGAAACCCTTCTTGTTCAGGACTGTCATAGCCACAGTTTGCAAAAAGTGCAGCTATTGATTAATGCAATGTATTGTCAATTAGATGTACATTCTTGAGGTCTTTTATCTGTTGTAGCTTTGTCTTTTTTTTTTTCTTTTCATTACATCAGTTATATTGCCCTGTAAATTGTGGTAGTGGTACCAGGAATAAAAAATTAAGGAATTTTTAACTTTTCAAAAAAAAATGTTTTTAATGTTTATCTTTGAGAGAGAGACAGAGAGAGAGAGAGAGAGAGAATGTGGGTGAGGGAGGGGCAGAGAGAGAGGGAGACACAGAATCTGAAGCAGGATCCAGGCTCTGAGCTGTCAGCACAGAGCCCAATGAGGGGCTCCAACTCACAAACTGTGAGATCATGACCTGAGCCGAAGTCCAATGTTTACCTGACTGAGCCACCCAGGTGCCCCTAAATTTAAAAATCTTAAGAAATAAAATAAATGTTGCTATCTGGTACCAAGAACTTAGATTGAGATGAATCCATAGATGCGTCTGTGAAGAACTGACACCCTTATAACACCAAGTCTTCTAATCCCAATTACTTAGGTCTTTTAAGCTGTATCTCAATAAAATTTTATAACAGTCTCAGTCTTCATTAGCACTCTGGAGGAAATCACACCCACAAGTTTCTAGCGGTGCTGTGTCAGTCATCAGCCTTTGATTAGACAGTCAAGGAAGAAAGTTAGAAATAGTTCAAGTCAGTTTATAAACAGTAAAGTTAAATCTAAATCTGTATCTTGTCATCACAAAGCTGGATTTCTACACAGCCTATTTACTAAACTTTTCTCTAACAGTAAAACATAGAGTTGGTTTAAAAAAATGTTTTTAGTTTTTATTTTTGAGAGAGAGCGCACACACACACTCACAAGTGGGGGATGGGGAGAGGGAGAGAGAGACAGAGAGACAGAGAGACAGAAGATCTGAAGCAGGCTCTGCAATGACAACAGGAACCCGATGCAGGCCTTGAACTCGCGAACCTTGAGATCACGACCTGAGCTGAAGGCAGATGCCCCAAAGATAGACTTGCTTTAATATGCATCTTCCAAAGTTTGTCGACTTATAACCTTGAGATTATGTTTGATAAAATGTTTGTGACAGAAAACTGTATTTGTTCACTTAAAGTTACAAGCTACATTTGTCCTAGGAGTGAATTGGCCTCCTAATATTCTGATAATTATCTTCCTATGATCCCTGTGATGTTTCAAATCACTCAAACGGCGTGGATTTTCCGGTGCTCGCGATACTGTCTGTTTTGCTGCTCGACCTCATCACCCCTACAACGTAACAACGGCCCCAGGCTCTGGCTTGTTCTGTCTTTCTTTTTGCTTTGCACTAAGAGATTGATCTGAAGATTCGCATTTGTTTGATGATGATGATGATTTCACCCCAAAGAAAATTTTTCCTATTGTTTTATTTGACCACACCCAATCTGATCTTTCCTTCAGGAACTTTCTATCTTTATTGTGGTAAGGACACTTAACGTAGCTTACCCTGTTAAATTGTTTTAATGTCTATTTATTTATTTTTCAGAGAGAAAGAGAGCACAAGTAGGGGAGGGGCGGAGAGAGAGAATCCCAAGCAGGCTCCGCACTCTCAGCACAGAGCGCAGCGAGGGGCTCGATCCCACGAACCATGAGATCACGACCTGAGCTGGAATCGAGGGTCGGATGCCTAGCTGACTGAGCCGACCAGGCGCCCCTCCCTGTTAAAATTTGAAGTGCACAGTACGGTATTGCCTCCCGTTGGCAGGCTCTCATCCCGGGGAGCTCTAGAACTTACTCGCCTTGTATGACTGAAACTCTACAGCCATTGACCAGCAACTCCCACTCCTCTTTGGTCTCTGTACAAAGTCTTCTCTTGGGTCGAGGCTCCATGTCTAATTGTTACAAGTCTATTTCACTTCTCATAAATGAAATTACTCTAAATTCAACTTAATCTGGTTTTCTAACGCACTAATTTGGTTTTCTGAAGTGTCCTTCCTGCTCTTCGGTGCCTCTCTTTTAATATCTTGCTCACATTTTTATTTGTGGTGTAAAAACACAAGTCTCAGAGGCGCTTGTTTGTGTGGGTCAAGGTTTTATTTAAGTGGTTACTGAGGAAACCAGCCGGAAGACCAGAGGCTCCAGGAGCCTCTGAGGAGCAGAGGCGCATCTGGGCCGTAGGAAAGGAACGCGAAAACAAGGTCATTAAGTTAGACGCGAGGGTGGTTAGCCTTTTACAGGAAATAAAGCCATAATCGCCTTTGGGGTTAACTTTTCTACCAGGCTACAGGGAAAAACAATTTATTAATTTCTGTAGATGAACCTGTTACCTGACACTCTTACAGCATTTCCCCTCTGTGCCTTGGTCCGCTGTGGTTTGTGACCGTCCGGGGACAGTCACGTTGCATTCCCCAGAAGGCCCCATCGGGGTCAAGCAGGACTCTTCGACGATGCTCTTGCTTGGACAAAGAGCATCTGTTCTCTTGCTTTTTCTCAGATTGTAATAATTTTGTCTCTAACGCTCCTGTCTTTAAATGCTCTGGACTGCAAACTTTGGAGGCTTCCTCCAAGTGCCCTGTGGCTTGTCCTTGCCCCCAGCCCCTGAGCCGCGTGTGTGTGTGTGCGTGTGTGTGCGTGTGTGTGCGTGTGTGTGTGTGTGCGCGCGCGCGCGGGCGTGGAGGCAGGGAAGGGGGTGAGCCGATGGAAGGAGCAGCAGTAGCCCACGATGGCCTCACCTGTGAGGCGCAGACCAAGGCGGGGCTCCCTGTGGGGTGGCGGGCGGCACCCTGTTCGCTCCCTGCTTTCCCCAGCTCCGTGTCATCTGGCGCCTTGAAATCCCAGCTACGTAAATGGGATTGCAGGTTGTTAGAACGGCCTGCCTTCTGGCTTCAAGGCTGTGGTGACACGGATTTGCTCCATGTTTGACCGGAATCATAAACCAGTGAGAGTTTTATTTTCAATGTCTGAAGCCTAATGGGAAGTGCTTACATCATGACTAGTGTCTGCAAACTTCAAGCACACTGTTCGTCTACAAAGGAGGAAGAGGAGGCTGTGGGAGAGACCTGACCTGGGGGGGGGGGGGGGGAGGAGGGCGCTTTCCCCCTGAGCTTCCTCATCTCCTCCTGGCTTTGGAGGGCAAAAGCAACCTGGGAGCAGCGGCGGGAAACGGAAGAGAGTTAAATCTTGGAAGAGGGTTCAAACAATGCACCCTTCCCGGGAATGCGGGATTCGTGACAACTAACCTGGGAGGCTTCCGGGCGGTGGCGGCCGGGGCTGTGCACTTTCAATGCCGAGAAAAGGCTCGGCCCAGGGGCAGGGCGGGGCCGGGACCGAGCGGGAGGCCAGGCTGGGAGGCGGGGGCGGGAGGCGAGCTGGAGAGGGCGCAGGGCTGGGGGGGGGGGGTCAGTACGCCTGCTGGGCCTCACAGCCCAGAACCTCCAGCCTCAGGGCGATCTGGCGAGCCCAGCTCTGGGGGTGAATTCTAAGGTAGCGAGTCAGTAGTGGGGGCTCTAGAGAGTTCACCACGGGCGTGGAGGAGTCTTGATTCCCCTGAAAAACCTGAAAGACGAAAGATGCCATTTATTAGTTGTCTGACTGGAAAAACACCACGGCCTGACCCCCATTCCGCCTCCTCTCCCCGGGGCCATTGAGTCCGTCAGCCTCCTTGAGTGTCGGTCGGCGTCCCTCCTCGGCCCCCCGAGCGGCCCGCGCCCCCACTCGCATCTGTGGCGGTGCCCCTCTCAACGTACGGCCCCCGAGTGGGTCTTTTCACTCGGTTGAGTAGCCCGTGCTGCCGGAAGTCCCGGACTGAACCCTGGGTTTGACGTCTACAATCAGGAGCACCCGGCGTTCCTGCCGTGGAGGCCTTTGCTCCAGCCACACCTTATTATATCTGGAATGTTCTCCCCCACCTGCCAAAATCTCCGTGAAATGGAGCGTTCTGTCCGAGGCGACACACGGCGCCTGCGTGGTGAGCCCTGTGTGTCTTCCCAGATGTGTCAGGGGCCTGTCCACCGCTTTCCCCTGTTTCCACCGCCACATGTCAGCCAGCCCCACGAGGGTCAGAGGCCGCGGTCACTGCCGTTATCTTGCACACATGGAACGTGTACCATAGTGTACACCCGGCAGCCATCCTTCAGACGTTCGGTAAAGCTTCTGTGTTTGATGAAACTTTTAAGAAACGGTGACGTCCCTACTCTGGGATTCTTCGACAGATGTTTACGTTGTATCTGGAGGCGTGTGCATCCTCCGTTAGACTTACCCCTTGTTATTTCCCCTCAAGTTTTTATTGTGAAATGGTAGCAACCCCAAGAAATGGAAAGAATAATGTGATGGACCCTTAAGTCTTCCACCTAGATTCACCAGTTGTTAACATAGTGACATTTTACTGTATCTATGTCTCCACACACACACACACACACACACACACACACACAATTTTCTGAACTACTTGAAAGGAAGTTGTAAACATCATGGCATTTTACTCCCAAACACTTCAGCATGTCAAACCTAAAACTAAGGTTGTTTATAACCACAGAATAATATTATCATGTCCACCAAATGGAATATTGATATAATATAGCCTAATATTTAAAAATGTCCAGTTATCATATGGCATCTTTCATATATTTTTTCAATCCAGAATCTAATAAAACTCACACATTACATTTATTTATTCTACCTCTTTAAATCTACTTTAATAGAAAACAGACTCCTAGTCTCTGTCATAACACTGACATTTTTAAGATAAACTTATTTATTTATTTTTGAGATCAAGAGAGAGCAGGAGAGAGAGAGGCAGAGAGAGACAGAGAATTCCAAGCAGGCTCCATTAGTGCAGAGCCTGATGAGGGGCTCGATCCTACAACTGTGAGATGGAGACCTGAGCCGAAATCAACAGTTGGATGCTTTGGCGACTGAGCTACCCAGGTGCCCTGACACTGACATTTTATGAAGTCTAAGACCGTTGTGTTGTGGATTGTCCCACATTCTAAATTATGTGACTCTTTTCTCATTAGGAGATTTTGGTTAAACATTTTTAGTGAGAAAACCCAGTGCATGAGGTGTCCTTCCCACTACATCCATCAGGGGACACATAATGCTAATTTGTCCCATAAATTGACGACACAAAGTTTGAGTGCTTGGTTGAGGTGATGTCCACCAGATCTCTCTGTTACCAAGGTGATCGTTTCCCTTTCCTAACAAACAATCTGTGAAACCATGTAAATATTCTGTTCCTCATCAAGCTTTCAGTCTGATGGTTCTAGCATTCATTGCAGTTTGTTATAAAGGGGAGGGGCGCCTGGGGGGCTCGGTCGGGTAAGCGTCCGACTTCGGCTCAGGTCATGATCTCACAGTTCATGGCTTCGAGCCCCACGCCGGGCTCTGTGATGACAACTCAGAGCTTGGAGCCTGCTTCAGATTATGTCTCCCTCTCTCTCTGCCCTTCTTCCCCTGCTTGCACTCTGTCTCTCTCTCTCTCAAAAATAAATAAACATTAAAAACAACCCAAGTATTAGTGTATTGATGACAGCAAACTGATTTCCTAATTTTGTTATTTCTTCTAAATTTCTTTAAAGTTTATTTATTTTGAGAGAGAGAGAGTAGGCATGTGTTCGAGCATGAGCAGGTGAGGGGCAGAGAGACACAGAGAGAGAGAGAACCCCAAGAAAGCTCTGTGCTGACAGAGATGTGTGACTGGAACCATGAGATCATGACCTGAGCCGAAATCAAGAGTCGGACACTTAACCGACTCAGCCACCCAGGTTGGCCCCTGAGTCTACATTTATTAGCTGGGATTCTTTTAGGCAGAAATACTCCACCTTCCCTTTATATATATATATTTTTTTAATGTTTTATTTATTTATTTCTAGGAGAGAGAGAGACAGCATGAGCAGGGGAGGGTCAGAGAGAGAGGGAGTGACAGACTCTGAAACAGGCTCCAGGCTCTGAGCTGGCAGTCAGCACAGAGCCCGACGCGGGGCTCGAACCCACGAACCGCGAGATCATGACCTGAGCGAAAGTCGGACGCTCAACCGACTAAGCCACCCGGGCGCCCCCCTTTATATTTTTAACTATGATTATGGACTCCTGGATTCTCTCTTTATTGTATTTATTATAATCCACTGCCATCCTTATTCTTTTTGATTCTCAAATTTGGCCAGCAGGAAGCCCTTCAGTGCAGGCCTTCTGTGCACTCCGGCAGGCCCGGATGTTCCAGGATTACCTGGCAGTTTCTTTGCTCCAGCTTTGGAATCAGTAGTCCTCTAAAGGAGCACATACCAGAAGCTTCCTTCTAGTGGGAAATGGCATTTAAAGAGAGAGAGTGCTCTTGGTTCACTTCAGCTCTGCCGCAGGCTGGGGCTCCTGTCCAGGGTGTCTTCTCAGCTTGGACGTTTCTATCTCATGGTAGAAGTGCAGAGGCACAGGAGAGCGAGTCAAACACGCACATTTCAAGCTTCTGTTTGGACTCACATTCCACTGGTAAAAACGGTCCTGTTGCCAAGCCCAGAGCCACTGAAGGTTTTAAGGAAGGAGGCAGTGACAAATCAAGAACAATAATACCTTTCACTCCATCTGCCATTTTCTGTTCATTTAGAAATTCTTTATAATTTCTTGTTCCAGAAATAACAGGTGATTTTATGTAGGCAGGGAAAAGAGCTTAGGGTGGAATATTAGGTTTATTGGTCCAGGGTTGCCCTCTGCTGTTGATAAAGTGAAGTGCAATTTCTTTACTAGTTGGGACAGAGAGGGTCTTGTGAGGTTGTGATTTGTTTTTGCTTTTATCGAACACTTGATTTCCACCATTTGCTTTCTGCTTGTGTTCATCACCATGCCTCCTTTCGTTTCGGTTCCAGAAGCCAATGCTATGACCTGCAGGTCTCAAATGTTAGTATTTCTGCACTCAGAGTGGGCATTTCTCTTTCCAGAAGGGAGTTTCTTTGGGGTACCCGGGTGGCACAACTGGTCAAGCATCCGACTCTTGGTTTCTGGCTCAGGTCATGATGTCACGGTTCATGAGTTCAAGCCCCACATCAGGTTCCATGCTGATTTCCATCTCTACCCCTCCTCACCTGGGCGTACGCGTGCTCTCTCTCAAAAGAAATCAACTTAAAAAAAAAGAAGTGATTTTCTTCGTTTTCGACCACTGACCTTTCCGGGCTCTTGCACAGCCTCCTCTCGTCTCCAGTGTGTGCCCTGCCGCTAGCTCAGCTAGCTTTGTGCGGTTATCGTCTACTTACCTTTAAATAGAAACTTACAGAATTCTTTGCCTTCTAGTGACTCTGCAGGTGAGTTATGGGTGGTTTCGTGCGGTTAAATATATATATATATAGATGTATATATTCATATATATATATTCACATATGTGATGTGAATATATATATATATATTCACATCATTGGTGAAGAAAGATTAATTTCTTCCTTTCCAGTTTAGATGCCTAATTTTTGTTGCCTAATTTTTCTGGCTGGAACTTCCAGTAAACTGTTGAATAGAAGTGGCAAAAGTGGTTGTCCTTGTGTGTTTGTGAAAATGATAAATGGAAGCCTCTTTTAGAATGGGGTCGGGGCCAGGGCAGCAGGGAGGCTCCCAGCCTACGACGCGTCCTCAATTCCAGATCTGAAGGGAAGACAGCGCCCCTCTCCCCAGGATGCACTTTCTTTACTACGTTCCTACCAGAGCAAGAGGCAGGAAGGGCCACCCCTCCTCGGCCCACCCCACCCAGCCCATCGGAGCCCCCACCCCACCCAGCCCATCGGAGCCGCTCCCGGCCCCTCCCTTTCCTGCTGGACCCGGCTCTCTGCTAGTCCCAAATAAAGTCGTTGCAGGTAAAATAACTGGCAGTTTTACTTTTAAAGTTAACATTTTGCTATTTGTCCCCTATATTTTCCCCTTCATTCTGGGCTTTTGATGTGTACCCGATGTCTCCTTGTCCTCTGTACTATGTCCTGGGGAATGTCTTTGGCTGTATCTTTCAAGCGACCAAAGTCTCTTTGGCTGTGTCTAATGTGCTATTAAGTCTTTCTTTGATTTTCAAACTTTGAGAATTCTGTTTTTCATTTCTAAAAGTACTGTTGTTTAGTACTGCCCAGAACTGCCTAATAATTTTGGGTAATTTGTCATTTATTTTTATGTTTTCATAGTTCATCAATATCTGATGTTCTTCGGATGTTAAATCTGTATTGTTTCTGCTCACTTGTTTTCTCTTTCTTTTCTTTCTTTTTTTTTTTTTTTAAAGTAGGCTCCACAGCTAACCTGGGGTTTGAACTCACGACCCTGAGATCAAGAGCCCCGCACTTTACCAACCAAGCCAGCCGGGTGCACCACTGTTCATGTGTAGTCAAGCTGGTTTGTTGTCTTGCATGTTTGCTAATGTTTATGATATTATCATTGTGATATGTGGGAATTTTGGGGGCCTAAACTGGGAGCGGAGTGGGCTCGAAAAAAGGCTCCTCCAGATACTGGGTTGTCGGCTTCCGCTCCCTTCTGGGCTCATTACTGAGTGCATTTGGCTTTCCTTGCATTTGGCTCAAAGCTTAGTTTCCTAATAACAGTCATACAAGCAGTTTCCCCTAGGAAAGGTCCTCCATTGTATATTTTCTCATATTTTACCTCTCTGCTATTATTTAAGCTCATTATTTTAAAATAAAAGCTTGTGTTTTTTTGTTTTTTGTTTTTTGTTTTTTTTTGCTCCTGATGGAGATGAGGCGGGAGAGTGGCCTTTCTTCACTGAGCGTAACAATGCATTACAAAGTAATGGATTATAGACAATATAGCCTTTTTATCGTGGCGATGTATACACAACACACCATTTACCATTCTGACCATTTTTAAGTGTATAATTCCACGGTGTTAAATACATTCACGATATTGTACAAGTAGCACCACCATCTATCTCCAGACCTCTTCATCTTGCAGAACTGAAGCTCTACGCCCCTGAACTGGCAATTTTCCATTATACTCTCAATGAAGTTGCCTATTCTAGGTACCTCATTATAATTTATAACTTTATCTGTCAACTTGACTGGTTCGTGAGGTGCCAGGAGAGTTGGTCAAATGCTGTTCTGGAATGTCTGTGAGGATGTTTTTGTTTTTCTTTTAATTTTTAAAAAGTTTTATTTATTTCTGAGAGAGAGAGAGACAGCACGAGCAGGGGAGGGTCAGAGAGAGAGGGAGACACAGAATCCGAAACAGGCTCCAGGCTCTGAGCTCGCTGTCAGCACAGAGCCCGATGCGGGGCTCAAACCCACGAGCCGCGAGATCATGACCTGAGCTAAAGTCGGATGCTCAACCGACTGAGCCACCCAGGCGCCCCTGTGAGGATGTTTTTGGATGAGACTAATATTCAGATGATAGAATGGATAAAGCGGACTGCCTTCCAATCAGTTATAAGCTTGAATAGAACAAAAAGGCTGACCTTCCTCGGAATAAGAGAGAATTCTTCCTGCTTGCCCGCCTTTGAACTGGGACATTGGCCTTTCCAGCTTTGGGCCTCAGGCTGAAATATCAGCCCTTCCGAGGTCTTGAGCCTGTTGGCCTTCAGCCTGGGATTTACACTGTCAGCTCTCCTGGTTCTCAGCAGGTCTTGGGACTTGTCACCTTCATAGTCACAAGCCAGCTCCTTACCACAATCTCCTTACACACACACGCACATGTGCGTACACACACACACATTCTACTGGTTCTGTTTCTCTGCAGAAGCCTGACTAATACACTCATCTACATGGAATCATACAGCATTTGTCCTTCTATGTCTAGTGTATTTCATTTAACCTAACGCATTCAAGGTTCATCCATACGGTAGCAGGTATCAGAGATGCACCCTTTTAAAATGTCCTCTAAAACATATATTATCTATACTCTGGGTCTACTAAACTGCCAGCAGCAGAAGTCTACTCCAGCATTGGGGAATCAAGGAGTTCTCCCTGAAGGAGATGATGTTTATCTGAGACTTAAAGAACGAACCAAGTAAAAAGGGCAACGGGAAGTGCCTAGGAAAAATGTTCTAGGTAGAAGAAACAGAAAGTCTAAAGGCCTGGATGAGAAAGAACATGCTGTTTTAAGGGACCTGAGGGTTTCTTAGTATGGATGAAGCTTAGAGAACAAAGGAGTGGGTGGCAAAAGGCTACAGATTGGTGAGGGCCACACCATGATTAATTCTTGGTGAGAAAGAAAAGAGACCATAGAGATGAGCTAGTCATTGTTTCATTAGTCGTGGAGTAGCAAGACTTTGGTCATGTCCTCTAATTAGCATAACTTGAAGGGGTGCCTGGGTGGCTCAGTCGGTTCAGCGTCTGACTTCGGCTCAGATCATGATCTCGCGGCTCGTGGGTTCGAGCCCCGCGTCGGGCTCTGTGCTGACAGCTCAGAGCCTGGAGCCTGTTTCAGATTCTGTGTCTCCCTCTCTCTCTGACCCTTCCCTGCTCACGTCATCTCTGTCTCTCAGAAATAAATAAAACATTTTAAAAATTAATTAGCATATTTTTTTGACTTCTCCAGCACACCCACATCAAGAAGGAAGATTGGGGGCACCTGTGTGGCTCAGTCAGTTAAGCGTCTGACTCTTGATTCTGGCTCAGGGCATGATCTCAAGGTTTGTGAGATCGAGCCCCGTATCAGGCTCTGTGCTGACAGTGTGGAGCCTGCTTGGGATTCTCTCCCTCTCTGCCCCTCCTCTGTTCGTTCACTTGCTCTCTCTCCCTGTATCCCTCTCTCTCTCAAAATAGAAATAAACTTAAAGAAAGAAATCAACTTAAAAAAAGAAGGAAGATTGTCTGGGTCACGTATGATAAAGGTCAGTGAGGCTTGGAACTTAAGGTGCGGGTGAGGATCCAGACATCATTAAACATTTGGCAAATAGCTCGCATTCTTCCCCCCTCTGATTCTTGCCATCATCTTGGATGACATCAACATCCATGAGGATAATCAACTTTCGGCTCCACTCTGCTCCTTCCTGGGACTGTGCACCCGGGATGAGTTCCGTCCCGTCCTGTTACTATTGATACTCAGTCACGTCTAGCTTGAAAGTTTGATCATATACCAACCTTATTATGTTTCTACCTGTCAAGCCCTAGGGGGAGTTTGGTGCCTTTCCCACGGGACTGGCGTACCTTCACTTTGCCGTTCTGAAGAACCAGAGCCCAGGTGTGGCCGTCTTGACTACTGGAAACGAGGAACTCCTTCACATACATGCTGGTAAGGAGCGATTTCACCCCCTGGGTGGTTATGCCTGTGACTTTCATTGTCTTCTGGAAGTCCACTTGCAGCCACTCTTTTGGATTATTTGCCTGAGGAGGTTAGTTAGACTAGTATCCTTCCCGGTGTTCCCAGAAGCCCTCACACCCGTCCCTCTTCCCCGCGTCGCAGCAGGCGTCGCTCTGCATGTTAATGGTCTCTCCATCCGTCTCCCTTATTAGACTCTAAGCAACTCGAGGGCTGCCAATTTTTCATGATTCCTCTTTGTATCCTCAGGGGCTCCCATTTGGTGGGTGCCTGGCAAATGTTTGCTAAGTGACTGCACGAGCCGTATATAGATGGGCTAGAGTATTACAAGGTGGGCAATGTGTCATACAAGCTGCTTTGTTTACAGTAAGCCCCTGGGAGGAGCAGACCATTAATTGCATTTGTTCCCCCCAAACTAGTCAGTGACTGAAAATCCCACGTTCAGCGGTTCTGCAGGGAAGGCCGATTGTTGATACTTCTCCATAACACTGGACGTCAGCCACTACCGTTCCTTCTCAGACAGCGGCCCAGTACTGCATACAGGGATTCGGCTTCAGGAGGTTCGATTAGGGATCTTTTCCCCCTTGACCCTCTCTTTTGGGAACAACCAGGTGACAGAAATGCCCCGAAGGAGCAGTCAAGGGCCCTCCCCGCTCTTTCCCCACCAGTCCCCCCTCCCGTGCGGTCTCTTACCTGAGGTCTCCAGGCATTCGTCCTGCCCTGGAGGTGCAGCCGGGCTTGGGCGGGAGACCAAGCGGCAAACATGCTCTTTAAGTAGGACGAGGCGGTAATCTGCGCGTCCGATATTGCTTTACTCTCCATCCCCAGCGGCATGCTGCAGCCTCGGAGAAATCACAGGTGAACATAATCACGGGGAGAAGACGCAGCCTCGGTTCCACAGGCCTGCTGTCACCATGATGTCACTTCCCAGGCATGAACTTTTGCACAGATTCTGCGGCTGTTCACATGCCCCTAGTTTCCTGGTCAGCGCTTCTCAGTTCTCTTAGACTGATTTGCCTTGTGGAGCGCACCGTGGGAGGCGGCTGTCCCCAAGGCGTCCCCCGGTTAGCATGGCTGGGCCCTGGGTTTGCTCAGGCCTCGGCTGCTTTAGCATTGATAGTTTTGTGGTCCGGGAAGCCCCCCACTCTCCAGAACGCTACGACAGTTAGTCACGCTACCCGTGGTCGGGACAGGGAGGGATACGGGGTGACTTGGCACTTACTGTTTAAATCACAGCCCATCAACTCCATGCGCAGAGTGCTGCGGATGCTGTAATGCGTTGGGTGCAAACGGATGTACCGAGCAATAATTGGAGGGTTAAAAATATTGTGTTTTATCCCAGATGAGTCCACGTTGCCAAAGAACACCTGCAGGGAGGGACTGGCGTAGGCACACGGACAGTGGACACAGGGTGAAAAGCAATTCCTCCCAACCACCTCTTCCTCCTGAGTTTGCTCTGTGCACTTCTCACCAGCATCCGGCACACCTAGCCGCTCCAGCGAGACACACCTAGCCGCTCTGGCGAGACACGTTAGGATGGGACACGCGAGACTAGGTCCTATGAAAAGCTCACGAAAGCTGAGGAAGGAGTAGGCTCTAACGCAGCAGCAGCAGCAGCACCTGGGAGCAATCAGAAGTGTGGTCTCCTGGCCCCGCTTCCAGGTCTACTGGACCCGAATGGGGAGCTTGGGACACGCTAGCTCCGTGCAGAGGCGGCAGTGAAAGTGCGCCAGGAGTCCGGACTCGGCCGCGTGGGCCTCAGAGGCGAGAGCGAACTGTGCGGCCTGACTTAATAATTCCTCGTGTCTGAATTCATGAGGTACATGTTAACATCCAACGCGTGGCGTTTAGGACATTGACACGTCTACGTTCCGGAAAACAGTACCTGGCATATTGAAAGTCGAAGGAACACAGTTTGAGAAGTATTATCGTAATGCCTATTCAAAAGGCCTAGATATGTACAAAACACCTGGGATTTGTATCCGCTTGAATACACTAAAACAGGAATCAGTGTAAGGCTGTCATATATCACACATCAGAGTTATACTATATGGGGCATTTGAGAAAATTATTTTGCCTTGTGACACTTTTTCCTTCCTGTGGGATCAAAATAAAATATTAATAAATTTATAACACTGTCCCCCAAATCGTAGATTTCTCTTTGATAAATGTATCTGCATTTTCCCCTCAATCCTTGTGTCTTGATTGTAAACCGTAGGGACACGAGGTATTAAATCAACAAATGGTTACTGACTACACAAACCCTGTATTCCATTTCTTACGTGCCAGGAACTGTGCTAGGTGGTTTTACTGGTGAATTCTACTAAATGTTTAAAGAAGGATTAATGCCAATCTTTTCCAAGCTCTTCTAAAACTTCCTAACTCGTACTACAAGTTAGGCATTACCTTGATAACAAAGCCAGACACATATACCAAGAAAAATTACAGACCAGTATACATTAAGAATATATATGCATAAATCCTCAATGAATTTTAGCAAACTGAATCCAGCAGCACATATATTTCTTTTCTTAATGTTTTATTTATTTTTGAGAGAGAGAGAGAGAGAGAGGGAATGAGCAGGGGAGGGGCAGAGAGAGAGGACAGAAAATCCAAAGCAGGCCCTGTGCTGACAGCCAAGAGTCCGATACGGGGCTTGAACCCACAAACCGTGAGATCATGATCTGAGCTAAAGTTGGGGGCGCCTGGGTGGCTTAGTCGGTTAAGCGTCTGACTTTCGCTTGGGTCATGATCTCGCGTTTCGTGGGTTCGAGCCCCGCATCGGGCTCTGTGCTGACTGCCAGCTCAGAGCCTGGAGCCTATTTCGGAGTCTGTATTTCCCTCTCTCTCTCTGACCCTCCCCTGCTCACGCTGTCTCTCTCTCTCTCCTAGAAATAAATAAAAATATTAAAAAAAAAATAAAGTTGGACACTTAACCGACAGCCAGTCAGGCAGCCCATAAATATTACATTTCATGTCCAGATAGGAATTTTCTCAGGAATACAAAGATGCTTCAACATGAGAAATTTACTTAACAGTACATTAATAAAATAAAGGTGAAAAAACCCACATGATCCTCTCAATTGACACAGAAAACCCATTCGACAAAATACAACAATGTTTTCTGACAAAAGTACTCAGCAAACTAGGAATAGAAGGGAAATGACCAAACATAATAAAGGGCATTTATGAAATACCCATAACTAATGTCAGACTCTGTGGTGGAAGACTGAAAGCTTTCCACCTAACATGAGGAACGACACCAGAATGCTTGCTTTCACGACTTCTATTCAAGATTGTAGCAGAATTTCTAGCCAGAGCGATGATGCAAAAAGAAGAAATAAAAATAAAAAGCATCTAAATTAGAAAGGAAGAAATAAAATGATCTCTACTCTCACGTGACATAATCTTACATACAAACAATCCTAAAGAACACACAAAAAGAGTTAATAAGTGAATTCAATAAAGTAGCTGGATCTGAGATCAACACATAAAGTCAGCTGTATGTCTACATAGTAGCAATGAAAAATATAAAGTGAAATTGACAACAATTCTATTTCAAATAGCATCAAATACAATTAAACACATAGGAATATATGTATCCAAGAAGGTGCATGGCATGTGCACTGAACATTCCAAATCATTGCTGAAAGAAATTAAGGAGGACTTAAATTAGTGGAAAGCCATCGGATTTTAGTGAATTGGGCATTTAAAATTGATAAGATGGCCATAGTTTCCAAGGCAATATATAGGTTCAATACAATCCCTATCAAAATCTCAATGATCTTTTGCAGACATGTAAAGGCCAATCCAAAATTCATATGGAAATTCAAGGGACACAGAGCGCCAAAACAATCCGGAAAAGAAGAACACAGTTGTGGGATCCACACTTGCCAATTTCAAAGCTACAGCAATCCTAAAACATGTGGTACTGGGATAATGGTAGACATGTAGGTCAACGCTCTTGAACTCCGCGTCAGAAATAAACCCACAGATTTATGAATAGTTGATATTCCAAAGAGTGCCCAGACCATTCAGTGGAGGGATGAGCAATCTCTTCAACAAATGGTGCTGGGAAACCTGAATATTGACAGAAAAGAGAATGAGCGTGGACTCCAGTTTCACACCACGTATGAAAATGAATTCCAAAACGGATCACAAGCCGAAACGTAAGTGAGGAAACTATGAAATTCTTGGAATCAAACACGGTATAAGTCCTCCCGGCTTTGATTACACACCAGTTCTCAATACGGCAGCGAAAGCACAGCCACAAAAGAAGGGGGTGGTGGAAAGAGGATCAGTTGCGCACCCTCCAAACCAAAAGATTTTGTGCACGAAAGGACCCTGTCTAGGAAGCGAGAGGACAAAAGGCGCAGGATGGGAGACACGTCTGCAAATCACACAGGTGATAAGGGTGTATTTTCCAGAACGCATAAAGAACACTCACAAGTCAGCGACGGAAAGGCTCCCGACCCAGTTAAAACAACGGGTAAAGGACCTGAAGAGACACTTCTCCAGGGCGGAGGTGCAGACGGCCAAGAGGCACACGAAGAGATGCTGCACACCGTTGGCCGGCAGGCCGTGCAAATCGCCAGCGCCAGGAGCGACCGCCTCCCAGCCAGGAGCACGGCTGTCCTCGGACTGCATCCAGCGCCATCGGACTGCATCCAGCCCCAGCGGACTGCATCCCCCCCAGCGGACTGCATCCGGCGCCAACGGACTGCATCCCCCCCCAGCGGACTGCATCCAGCGCCATCGGACTGCATCCCCCCCCCAGCGGACTGCATCCCCCCCGGCGGACTGTGTCCAGCCCCAGCGGACTGCATCCCCCCCCAGCGGACTGCATCCAGCGCCATCGGACTGCATCCCCCCACCCCAGCGGACTGCATCCAGCGCCAACGGAGTGTATCCAGCCCTAGCGGACTGCATCCAGCGCCAACGGAGTGTATCCAGCCCTAGCGGACTGCATCCAGCGCCAACGGACTGCATCCCCCCCCAGCGGACTGCATCCAGCGCCATCGGACTCCATCCCCCCCCCAGGGGACTGCATCCCCCCCAGCGGACTGCATCCCCCCCGGCGGACTGTATCCAGCGCCATCGGAC